GTGTATATATATACACACACACACCAGTCAACAGTTAGAAAATGTTCTCTGGTTATAGGATGAAACTTGTCTCTATTAGCTAACCATTTTCTCAACAAGTCAGGTTCCTCTAACAGAAACTTAAAAATACTCATGCTTATAATATATATATAGTGGACATTTGTTAACTTGTGGTGTCATATGACCTCTGAGTAAGCACTATCATCCAGCTATTAGGCTTTTTAGCATTCAATCTAAACCTGACWCTGAGCATGACTCAATTAGACCAGATGATTTTTTATGTATTTATTTTTTATTTATATATTTATTTTTTGTTAAAGTGTGTTTCTTCAGGTCTGGGTTAGCACCTCAGTGAGGAAACATTTGACACAGTTTACCCTGAGAGACACACCGTGGCTGTCTTGACACGTGTTTTTGTGGAAATATTTTTCCTTTTTCTGATGAGTCAGACTTCAGACCTGAGCTGTGATTTTTACTTCCTTTTTATTCTGCTTACAACAGAAAAAAAGTTTGTCCTTATCTTTGCCCTGGAACATTAAAACTCAAGAGTTCTGGACACACATTCAGATATGAGGTACCACATAAAGGACACAACTCTGCATTGCTTTGTTGACAGGTTGCTTCACCTCAAGGTTACAGATTACACAGTTCTGACCCAGTTTCAGGAGTTCCGGCTGATCATGTGTGTTTACACTGAATGTTGACCAGGTTAAGCACCTTTTAGTGACACATAAGTATGAAGTGACATAAAATGTTTTTTAACTTCTATTTAGAGCTATTAAAGTTTTAAACGTTTATAGTGTGTATAGTTGTGCATATCAGCACTTTCTTCTAGCTGAATAAACAACATTTTGATTAACACCTTTCAAAATGGAGTTACTCCTGACCTGAAGTGAACTGGTTTCATGAAGGCCACGTGTTCCAGAGTGAGCTAAAGTAAACTGGACTTGTGCACAGCTTTTTAAAAAACTTATTACTGATACCAGAACCCAGAGGTGTCCAGCATCCTGCATGTTTTACTTCCTGCTCCAACTCATCTGATTAAAGGGTTGAATGACCAGACGCCTGATAATCATCTATCCAGATCAGGTGTGTTGGAGCAGGAAAACATTTAAACATGCAGGATGGTGGTCCTGCAGGACCAGGACTGGACACTCCTGCTTTAACCTGAACCTCTTGTATTTACAGTTTACATGATATAACTTTATGCTGATGATACCTTAGTTTATCTGTAATGGTGTGTTTTTTTTTTTTTTTTAAGAAACTAGCAATTCTTACAGTAAATTGTGGTTCTAGTGAATTGTTTCCAACCTTAATTAGATCAAAACGATTAAAAAAAACAAGTTTTAACTTAAAGTTTAAACTGCCTTTCAATTTCTTTGCCTTTCACAAATTCAGCTATTGAAGCAAATTTTTACCTGAACACAAGAAGCAGCTTCAGTAGTTCTGCTCCAAGTCTGTTGTGTGTTTTATTGTTGAATTAGTTTGTCTCAGGTTGAGGAGTTCAGAAATCTGGTCTTGTTCCTGAGTGATGGTAGSATGGAGATGGATCCACGGAGCAGGGTCTCATCCTCACTAATGCATGTCAAGTTGTGCGGACTGTCCGTAGATTACACAGATATTCCCCCCATTTTGCAGGTATTTGGACATTTACAGAAATCTCAGACATTTTTTTAAACTCGGCTTCAAATTCATTTTACATCTCAGAGCCTATACGATGTAAAAAATATAAAAATCAGTAAATAAAATTAAAGAACTATCTCCCCAACTAACATGCTAACAATAGCATGATGCTAACAATAAGGTCCACCTCTTCCTGTCCTCCTTTCCCTGCTCTTCTGTGCTGCAGGCACCGTTATCAGAATCCGAATCAGTTTTATTACCATTGAACAGGATTCACAGATTAAGAATTTGCTTCAGTGTAAAGGTGCAGTAGGTATCAAATTTAACAAAAGAAGAAAATACAAAGAATAAAATATAATAAAATACAAAATTCAATACAATATTCAGAGCAGACAATATAATGGAGTAGTGCAGTTAGATCCAGTGATAAAAGTGACCAGAAAAAACAATATAGTCAGAGTTGTGCTGTTTAAGAAACCAGTGATAAAGTGGCCAAGGCAGTTTTAGAGTCACGTGTTCTAAATGTTCTAAATGTTCGAGTCTGACGGCAGAGGGGAAGAAACTGTTCTTGTGGCGGGATGTTCTGGTCCGAATGGACCGA